CTCACTCACTCACTCACTCACTCACTCACACACACACACACACACACACACACACACACACACACACACATATAGAAAATAAGTATTTTATGCTCACCAGAGCTGTTTATTTAATCAAAGATACAGTAAAAACAATAATATTTTGGAATGTTATTACAATTTAAAATACTGTTTTCTATTTTAATATATTTTATATTTTATTCCTGTGATGGCAAAGCTGAATTTTCAGCATAATTACTCCAGTCTTCAGTGTCACATGATCCTTTAGAAATCATTCTAATATTCTGATTTGCTACTTAAACATTTACTGTTTATCATCCTAGTGTAGGAAACTAGGATTCTTTAATAAATAGAAAGTTCAAAAGATCAGCATTTATTTGAAATATAAATTTTATAAATGAATCACTATAAATGTCTTTACTGTCAATTTTGATCAATTTAATGCATTATTGCTGAATAGAAATAGCCAAACTTTTGAACAATCATCATAGTATTAATTAAATAAGGTATGTATGTATTAAATATTGCATTTAAAGTGTTGTATAAATGAATGTCTGTGTAAGTTTGTGAATTGGGGTTTTCCCACCATCATCAGGTCCAGTGTAGACATCTAGAGATGGACTGGTGTGCTAGCTTGTTTGTGTAGGAAAATGTTTCATAGGCGGACATTTTCATGTCTGGGCACTGGGGAAAGCAGGAGGGAAAGAGGCAAGGATTATAGTCATGACTCAACTCAGGAAATAATTACTGGATGGAAACATTCATTGCTGGAATCTGAAACCAGCGACTGGCTGAGTGTTGACCCCCAGTTGTCTGTTTTTCTATGTTCTACTTTTTTCACTTCACGTGCTTGATGATCATAAAACACACTCAAACAGACTACATCACTATGCTGCTGTGTTAGCTATTAGGTTTGTCTGTGTCATATGGAAAATTCTAAACTTCAATATGAAATGCCTTCTCTTTCTCTCCCTACAGCTCTGTATCCGAATCTGGAGGAGCTGGGAGACTATATGGGCCTCAGTCTGAACAGCGATGAGGTCCAGAGAAACCTTGCGCTGGTCCCGGTGGCTGACAATGTAAGTGATTGACACTGAACACACCTGTTTGTTTTTAGAGTTCAGTTCCTGTAAGTATCGCCACTCATAAAGAAATATTGAATATATGCAAACAATGACATTTCAGAGTCTCAAATGTTTCCCTAGCAGTGCTGTTACTCTTTCCTGGTTTAGTTTGTTCTACAGCCTGTTTTTCCATCTCTGCAACCTTTGCCTTGTACAATATTTTCTCTGTTAAAGCAGCCAAGAGAAATTGTGTAAGCTTTGAAAAAGAGGAGGTGGTTGTGTATCTGTGCTTTTGGGAGTTTTTTTTTCTCTGAATAGTTCAAACTGGCCATAGAGTGTCTTATTCTTTTCAACATCATTCCTGGAAGCAGAGCTCAGAATGACTCATACACCATTAGGCCTGTGATGGAGTAATGCTAATGTAGGCTGCTTTCAGAGAGCATCTTAAAAAGATACTCAGTGTTCATAGTACTGAACATTAGACCAGCCTCTCTCTTTTTGCATCTTTTTGTGTCAAGTATCCTCACAGCCCCATTAATAAGGCTCAAATACCCCTTAATCAACACAAAACCAGAAATCTATTTCTTTTCACTAATACTGGATATCATTTGGCATTATCATTAATATTGTTAAAGTTGCTTAATCTATACTGTGGGTGAAAAAACGATTCACCTTATAGCACATTCTATTATGAATATCTTGTTTTGTTTCATAAAAATAAACTGAAAAAAAAAAAACTTTTAGATTTAATTAGTAATAGATATTTAGTGAGTTATTTTATCACGGTAATTAATTACATTAATTAATTCACATTATTTATATTAGTTATATACATTATATATATTAGTTATATACATTACCATTCGAAAGTTTTAAGGCTGCATTTATTTGTAATAGAAATACTTTGCAATATTATAAATGTCTTTACTGTCACTTCTAATCAATTTAATGTGTTTTTGCTGAATAAAATATACTATTGTTAATGGTCATAATACATTATAACTAATTTGAATTTTACACCCTTCTTATCACTTCCTGTCACAGCTTCTACTGTCCTATCATAACAAAGGCATAAATGCAAATTTTGGGATTGACAACCGCATTTACTAACAGGTGTGTCTCAAAATGTCCCGTTCACACAGCAGCTTACAGTAGCATCTCGAATACTGTCTGTATGAACGTGCAACGGGAGTCAAGCCTGTATTCCTTACCAGTAACCATAGCAACAGTGACCAAAGTAATATCAAAGATGGCGACGTCCATAAAACTGAAAGTCTTATCACTTTCTGACATGACAAGAGTCCAATTAAGCCGCGAGTTCATCCGTCAGATCTTCATTAACTGACAGCAGCTTTTATATTTGGGTGGAGAGAGGAGCATTTGAGTCGCATGTAGAACACACAAACCTGTAACTGCATGTTAGCGTGTAGAACACGGGAGCGGCTCCGGTGGAGACTGGATCTAAAACTTTCACATGACACACAGCTCATTTCTCCGTCACTGTAAGTTACTGAAACCAGACATGAAAACACGCAGCACACGATAGACACGCATTTGTGCAGCAGAGCGGCTCTCTCGCACTATATGACGTGACAAACAACTAGTTGTCCAGTCCTGTTCCGTTCACACAGCACGTGTTTTCCGAGAATGCGGTTGTGAGTCCTGAAAATTTACGGTGTGAGTTCAGTTACAGAATGCGGTTGTCACGCCTGAAAATAACTATACTGTGTGTGAACTTAACCGCATTAAGGACTCAAATACAGGACTGACAACCGTATTCTGCTGCTGTGTGAACTGGCCTAAATCTTTCAGAGTACCCATTGGTTGGAAAGTACTGCATTAGAATATTTGCATTGGCCAGAGTTAACTTTTCATGTTGTATAATATGTGAACAATACAGTCACGCGTATGAGAATGAATAAACATTTCTCTTGCCTGGCAGCAAGTGGCAGTGCCAAGTTGTGTGGGTGGCATGGTGCGGCCTGTGACTGGTGCTGACATGGGAATCAGGAGGGCAGAGATTCGCCCAGGTCTTCGGGAGGTCATCATCTGCAAAGACCAGGAAGGAAAGGTCGGACTCCGACTCCGAGATATCGATAATGTGAGTAAAGCTCTTTGTATTAAACACTTCCTCAGAGTCAGGATTGGTGTCGTGTTTCATTGTTTTGAGTGTGTAATTGGTATGTAGGTTAATTGGTCATTTGTTTTAGGGCAGCACACCCTCATTCTCAGCATGTGTCATTGTTATCATCAGCAGCAGGTGATGTTTAGTTGAGGTGTCATTATCATTCATGTATGTCATTTCCTCTTTCTGTAGGGAGTGTTTGTCCAGCTGGTGCAGGCAAACTCTCCAGCAGCGTTGGGTGGCCTGCGTTTTGGAGATCAGATTCTGCAGATCAATGGGCAGAATGTTGCTGGCTGGAGCTCAGATAAGGCTCACAAAGCTCTGAAGGCAGCAGCTGAACAGCGCATCGACCTCATTGTCCGTGACAGGTCAGTCATTTCTATCTGTACAGTATATAAACATAGACACTACTGTTCAAAGGCTTGGGGTTGGTACGATTTTTTTTTTGTCTCATGCTTGCCTAGTTTAAAATACAGTAATATTGTGAAATATAATTACAATTTATATGAACCATTTTCTTTTTGAAAATATAAAAAAATATATAATTTATTCCTGTAATGCAAAGCTGAATTTTCAGCATCATTACTCCAGTCTTCAGTGTCACATGATCCTTCAGAAATCATTCAAATAAGCTGATTTGCTGCTCCAGAAACCTTTCTTATTGTTACCAGTGTTGAAAACAGTTGTGTTCCTTACTATTTTTTTTAATCCATGACAGATTTTTTTTCCAGGATACTTTAAGGAATATAAAGTTGAGAATAATTTGAAATTAGCGTTTATTTTAAATTAAATGATTTTGTTACAATGTCACTTTTACTGTCACTTTTGATCAATTGGTTCCTTGCTGATAATAATAACAATAAAACAGTAAAGTACTTATAATAATGCAAATAATAATATTAAACCCACATAATAATACAAAATATTCTGAATATTGTCTTGACAAATTGGACAGAATCAGTATGACAAGTGTATAACAATATTTGTGTTGATCTTTGCTCCCTCCTGGTGGTTATTTGTTATAATTGTAGCATTTGTTGAGTTCAGTGTGAAACATAAACTTCCTGCTTTAGATCCAAGTTAAGCTGTATCAACAACATTTGTGGCAGTTACCACAGAAAAAACAAAAAACAAAAAAAAACTAAATTCAGTTACCGTAAGGCACTTACAAGCAGCAAGTATTTAAATGCTGTTTTAATAGTATAGCCACAGGACATTATTGGCACGGGACATGAATTACTTAATGACACTACTGTCTGCATTAAAGTTACATGCATCTTGATCACACAAAAATGGGGGTCAAGTCAAAATAGTTTTCTGTGGTAATCATTAACATAATTGCACAGATGATGCCAATAAGGATAATATCATATGTATATATTTTGTGTTCCAGACCATTCCAGCGCACAGTCACCATGCATAAGGACAGCTCTGGCCATGTGGGCTTCATCTTCAAATCCGGACGCATCACATCTCTAGTGAAGGATGGTTCTGCTGCCCGCAACGGCCTGCTCACCGATCACTTCATCTGTGAGATCAACGGCCAGAACGTCATTGGACTCAAGGTGAGAGTGGTCATGGTAGTGTTTTCCGGATATGTCTTTTAAAACTGCTGTCAAAGACACAAGACCATAAATAAAATTCTGAGATTTGTAGTGTAAAATATTTTGTTTTCTGTCTACAGGACACTCAGATTAAGGACATCCTGACCACATCTCCCACTGCCATGACCATCACCTTCATGCCTAAGTTCATCTACGAGCACATGATTAAGAAGTGAGATCCAGCTTTGGTTTTACACTCATAAGTAATTTAATAATCATAGTACAGTTAGCTGTTACCAAAAAAAAAAAAAAATTTTTTATAATGTGGCAAACCAATTATAATATGGCAATAATGCATTAACTCAGTAAAGCCTAAAAAAAAAAAAAAGTCAAAATTCTGATCTAAATCTAATAATAATAGCAAAATCTAAAAAACAAACATTTTTTTATTTATTGAGTATCATATTTGATACAGGCTTTTCATATAGTATAATATAGAAGAATATGGAGCTCACACTTGATCTTAGTTTTATTCAGAGGCTCAAATTGAGCAAAAAATGCAATTTTGTGCAGATGCTGATATTTCTATAGCCAAAAAGAAACATGAAATTCTAGTAGCTTGTAATGTAAAGCAATGAGATCTTCATAACAGTATAGCAGACTACTTTCATAAAATGCATATAAATATCAGTTGTCACTCTATATTTCCCAATAATGTCTTGGTAACATGATATATAAATGCTTAGTTTTATAATCAGAGCTCTGTAGTTCTTATTATGGGGGAAAACATAATGCAGTGCAAAACAATAATGACTGAGAGATGTACAAATAAACAATCCTGAAAAGCCGGATGCATCAAATGTTGATACATTTTAACTCTTCTAAAAGAAAATGATGTAAGGATAATCAAGTTACCTTAAGTTGCTTCAGTCCAGTAAGTGTTGAAATCTTGAAATATTACTAACAGTATAAAAGTTATTCTTGTTTACTGTGTGAAAATCAGTAAAGATTTCACTTCAAAAACACACATGTACCATCATATTGAAGGCGTTTCATATTGTACATGTTTTAGAATGATACTAAAAGCTTGTAAAAAAAAAAAAGAAAAAGAAAAGAAAAAAGTATAAATTATCAATCACATGACAGTTGATGCTAGTAGATTGTTTATAACAGAAATGTGAAATTTGCATACCAGATATGATACAGTAGCTATGCTTTATGAGGTTAGAATAATTTTATTAGCATTGATTATATTATATCATATTATATTATAACCAACCAGTTTACAAAGCATTAGGAAAATCATAAATATTCCAAAATCTGTGTAAATAAATGACTTCTGGCAGTGTGACATGAACAAAACAGACATCAATAATCAAAAGTCTGTCAAAATGAATTGTCGTCATCTGCTCATGACAGCCCTAATCTGTATGTTCCAGGATGTCAAGCGGCCTGCTGAAGTCATCAATGGATCACTCTGTGCCTGAGGTCTGAACACAGAAGACCACGCACACCCCCTTTTCCACAATGCCTACAATCTCTAGCCTTCCCATTGGAGCCATCCACCACATGGGTCGTCTATCACTGATTGGATAAACCTCCTCAATCACATTCATTTATAACATGTAAAAACTGCCTTTTTCTATTTCACTTGTTGGCTGTTATCGTTTTGCCATCTAGTTCTTGATTCTGTTCTACATGCCATTATTGCCATTGTGTAATTGTTGTCATATTACGTTATATAATAATAATCCATTGTCATTACTGAGTATTATTATCTGATTGTTTTATTTTTGCTGGGGGGCAAGGGGTTAAAAACTGAACCTGAGCTTCCATTTTGAAAAGCATTAGCTTCAACACTCCTATCTTTTCAGTTCCTCCCACTATGCACAAACACTTTTTATTTTTGGAACATCTATATGCCAACAGCTGTACTCTGCCAGAAGGAATTCTTGGCCAGAATTTGTAATGCAACAAATCATTTCTTATTGATTTTGAACATGTTTTTAGGTGTTTAATCTTTGATAATATTCTCTGTCATTAGCCTGTAAATGTTAGCGTCTCTAAAAATGTATATACGAATGTAACCTCAAGACTGAAATTATTACAAAAATAAATAATCATCCTGGTGATACCAATGGAATACACTGCCAATACTGATCTCTCAAAACATCTAAATGCTCCACTTCAAAAAGTTTTTGAGATGCTCTACACATTTTCAGATGGTTAGAAACAAGATTTGAAACAAAGGATTAAAAAAAACTTCAAAAGTAGCGAGAAGGCTTTGTTCACCATGCTTTTTAATATAGATCCTTTTACAGAACAATGAGGGTCAATAGCGATGTGTTGCAGTGATGTCTGTACACACTAATATTACCATTAAAATATTATTCTACACAAAAATATTGAGACACTATGAAACATTACCAGACTTACAAGTGCTGATACAGGTAGACAATACAGAGACAAACTGAAGTGTGAGATGAAGGCGTAAACATGTCAATAGAATAATCATAAAAAAAAACTAACAAAGGTACCTCTGTGAGATCTAATCTTCTAGGCACAGTCATATAATCCTGCTTACCAGAGACTAAACTGCTGATGTAAGTGTCAGTTTGCCACCAATTTTACATTTCAGTATTCACTCTGAAAGAAAAAAGCATGGCTTATGGCTTTTTTCTTGTTGGAGGCTGTTTCCATTTAAACAATTTAAAGAATATATGAGGTACTAATGTCTTCAAACCATGGTTGAAGGTGATATACATTAGTAAAGAAACGAATTATTCATTGCCAGCTTACCCTAAAAAGTATTTGTCAGAGAGTAATGATTCAATAAGACAAGACACAAGACATTTTGTGGTTACAAAAGTACATTCTAAACAAATATTGTGCCAGTTGACATTGACATCAAACTTGGAAATGTTTATTCTTAATCATCCCCAAAAATGCTATAAAAACTAGGGATATGGAGAAAAACTGTCACTTGGCTACAATGCAGTCTTTCACAACAGCCTGTTAAATTCAGCCTCATTAACTAAAGCCTGTTAAATTCAGCCTCATTAACTTCAGAGCCTGTTAACTTCAGAAAATAATGAAAGGTTTTATTAGTAAAACTAACAATAAGTAAAGTATTAAGATCTGTAGACTTCCTAATGGTGGATCGGAAGCTTTAAAGCAAATAATCTGATTATTAATTACCATTCAAATGCAGAAAGAAAAATTAACTGATACTGCAACACATGAATTCTCACATTAAATTGCACACTCATACAGAGTGAAAAAAACTGTGATATGACAAAATAGAAATATTACTTAAATTTACCAGCATATAGGGCCAATATACACCTCTACTTGTAATATGGCTTCAAAAAATTCAAGAAAATCTTATCAAGGCCTTACGTGTCATTTCAACAGGTATACAAAGCTTTATATCAGCACAAAACATTTACCTGGCCAAATAAATAATGCAATAGTTATTTACGTACATTTCATTGACAGACAGTAGCGGTTTGGAGGAAACCTATTCTTGGGGTAACAACTGATTACAGTCTCATAATCTCTCATCTTCAGATAAAGACAAAACTATCTGAATGCCACACATTCATAGTTTCAACAAACGAGTCAAACTAACAAAAAAAAAAAATCAGGAACATATATGCCTTCATTTCTTTAAATCTGCTGTAAGGTTATTCAGTAAGTGCTTAGTTGGAATGAGGTGAAAAAGTGCAGGGACTAGACTATAAATTAATGACATATATGCACACTTGCCACCACAAAGCACAAATTAAGATTGTCAGGCAGTTAAAAAGAATAAATATCAAGCGCTAAAAAACCTTACAGACGCCACATCAAATATGCACAACAGAAAGCAGTAAATAATTTAAATGAGAACTTTGCAAATAGACAACAAATAAGGCCTATATTACCATACATATACTGTACACAACATCAGAGGGAGGAGGTAGACAGAAAGGCAGCGGCTATTCATGATTTGGAGGGACAGAAGATAAGACAATATGTGAGACACAAATAACTACAATTAGTGATCAACTGGTTGATTATCTGGTACACTGTTGACTGGCAAATCAATCCAGCTGTCACATATACACAACACAAACTATAAATATTCATGTGAATTTATGAAACTGATGATTCTTTGAAATGGTGGTGTCGGTGAAATCTAACCCTGAATCACAAATCCACATGTATGCATTGGCCTTTGGACAGACAGAAACTCACAATCAAGTATACTTCAAGTAATTGCTTATAAAGTGAATTATAGTGCAATTGACATGTCATTAAATGTCACCCTTCTCCTACGTGTCAGTCAAATAAATGGTCAACATGAACATCAGGGGACATGTAGTCATGGCCAAATGTTTGGAAAAAGCTGAAAGCAGAGAATTTTAAAATAAAATTTGTTTCTGCATGCAGTAAATGTTTAATTTACTTTCACTGTTTTAAAATTTACACCTAGATAGTTAATCAATTTGTATAATCTTTTATTTTTTTTAACCAAGTAACTCAAAAAATACTTTTCGTTTTTGCGGTCTTTGATATTTTTTGTAGAATTATATTACGTAGTATTTCAGAAATAACATATTAGCTACTTTAATAATGTATTAGTATTAGTGCTAATAATATTAGCATTGCAACAACTTGTTTAGCAGAGTGTAATGCTAAATTAAGTTAAGATGTTTCATTATTTAACATTGTTTTTAGCGGTCCCAACTCTCATGCCGGCTGTTGCCAGTTTGAGCCCCGCATGTAGCAGGTCAAGCACAACCGGTTGAAGTTACATAACCTAGTCTAACAGTGAACATGAAAATTAGACCTATTGTTAAAGATTTGGATAAATGTTTTTTGATGGTCACACAGTGAAACAAAATCATAAAATTCATCTGATGAAAAAGCTCCCATGACCTATTAAAGTAATTTAACCCAGACCATTGTCTAAACACGGAATCCTTCTTACTGTTAATATTATTATTTAAAATACATTACCCTTTTCCTAAACACACAATTTAGCATTCAACTATACAGAACATTTCTTAAGCATCAAACTTCCCCACTTAATTGAGCATCAAATAAAGAATACATTGTCTAAAAGACTCCAGATGGACTATGTATCATTTTGTGACCGCATTTATCTACGACACTAGTGGTATATGCAAAGCATATAAATAGCTCTGCAGGTGCTTGCTTTGCTCCTTAAGGGGAAAAGATGACTTCTGCTCTTATGCCACACAGGCACAAGTAATGGGACGGCTAACTACTGCACTCACAGCTACAACAATGATGGCCATTAGTAATCCAGGTACTGCACTGATCAATCAATACACACACATACAACACACACCCTCTGCAGTGACAGTAGGAGGGACGCACAAAAGGACAGTTTCTTCCCATCACTTATTATGTCTCTTCACTCTAAATAAGGGTAATACAATCATATTAAAGGGGATATTTTAGTGTCACTCACAAAGCTGAGTTAATGTCATTGTGTCAGTCCATCATTCAAAACACTTCATCCCTCCTCTTTACTCAGGGTAGTAGTTGTGGAAAAAGGTGAAAGCTCGCTTGATGTCCTGAACTTCATGAGCATCTTATTTGTTGGTTCAAATACATGCTAGTGATCCCCCTTCCTCATTCTTATCTTGTCTTGGATATATACCATAGAGAACCACAGCATTAAGGTACTGTGCTCAGACACTATCCTTCCACTAGTTGCCTCAATTCATTTTACATGTGTTAACCATTCCCTAATTGCACATCTTACAGAACAACAGTGATATCACTGGCTTCAGCACTTCCCCTGAGAGAAGAGCTGGTCTCATATACTCATTCCCCCTGGACCACCTCCTCCTGTGGGGTAGTGCCGAAGGCCTCCTCCTCTACGCAGAGAATGAAGAGCCACGGTGCAGCAACCCCGCAATAGAGAACCAATATGGTATATTGGCTGACCAACACGGTGTGGACCCCGACAGAGCCACGCCACTGTGGGGACCACTGGCACAACCACCGCAAGCAGATCCACTAGGAAGTGCCGGCTCCAGTAGTTCTTTGCTGGTAAACCACAGCCAGACGACTTGGACTCTGTGTTCATAGCACTCTCGCCATCCACGTCTTCATCGTCTGCAACTATATTTATGACATGATCCCCTTCAACCCCAGCCTCTGTTAGTCCACTACGAGGCTGAGTGGTCTGTGGAAGGGGCTCCAATTCTGTCTCAACCAATGGCTGCACGGAGCAAGGGGAGGTGCCAGGGTTTGGCAAAGGGTCTGTTACAGGTTGAGGTTGAACAGAGTTGGTTACTTGGGATCCAATGGTCTCTGTGGTCAAAGCTGTTGTGGTGATTGGTAAGACTGTAAGGGGCTCTGAAACAGTTGTCTCCTTAACAGAGGACTCCATGGGGATCAACGCTAAAGTCGCAGGTCCTTTTGAAACAGATGCAGCTGATGCCCAAGGCTCTATTGCAACAGCTGGTGCAGACTCAGTGGAAAAGTCTGTGATGACAGAAGTTGTGGCAACTGTTGCCGTAATGGCTGATTCTGTGGCTACGGACTCCAGATCATCTTTCTCGTCAGACATCCAGGTAGAGGTTGGACTGCAGGCCTTAGAGCGGAAGGTGCGCTCAGCAATAGTGTCTAGATCAGAGTTAAAGGATGTACTGGGACCATGGGCAGGGGCCGAAGCAGGGGCATGATCATAGTCAGTTTGAATGCCTTGCTCACGCAGGTGATGCAGGTATAGGTGATGATGCGACAGACATGGATGACTTACACTAACAGTGGTCCCCGTCCCGATCCCACTGCAGCGGAGAGGCACAACTCTAGGCTCGCTGTTGCACAGTGCATCGTAGGTGGAGGAGTGTGGCAGGCGGGAGTACGCATTGAGCAGCGAGGCTGTCTCTTGAGACAGAAACGCAGCCTCCAGGAGCAGATCTGCCTTGCTTGCTCCTCTTCCACTGTCTCCACAGCAAACAAACCCGCTGTCCTGCGTGCCCTCGCCTGACAAACATGGAATATCACACCCATTTTCATTACCACCACATTCCTGGCCAGTCTGGTCACTTAGCTTGGTGTACGTAGAGCTGCAGGTAAGCGAGCGAGCTGGGGAGCCTTCGGAAGACCCCACCAGGCCCTCGCTGACCTCCAGCCCTGCCCCCACCACCCCTCCACCTGCCAGGGTTTCTCCTGTTTTGGTGGGCCCGATCGGTGCCAGCTCCATGCTCTGCAATAAAGACTCCAGCTTGTGGTTCTGGAGATTTTTGTCTTGGAAGCACTTTTGCACTCCAGTGTCGGTGTCTCCCAGACTGAATCTGACAACATCGACAACTTGCTTAAGCTGCTGGATCTCCCCGCGAGCCTCCTTTAGAGCCAGCTGGGCCTCCACGCGGTGGCATTCTTCTTCAATCCAGTCCTCTTGCATACGAGACAGCTGAGTACGCAACTCATCAATCTCAGTGTCCCTATGGAAAGAGAGGAAACAAGACAGAGGACAGAGAAACCAAGCACGTCAAAATAGAAAAGCAAGGACCGTCCAAAAAAACTAAAACTACTGTGTCAAATGTTTTTGCTTTTAAAATACTTTGTCCTATCCCAGTATAATGTAATTTGCCAACTCTATGTCAGTGACTGATAGTTTACATTCCATTACGTTTCAACATCGGTCTGTTGGAGCTGCCCAACATAGCAACACACTGGCCTAAACAATTGTGTGTCTTTGGGGAAGGACTATCTGTTTGTCTGGCCAGTGGGAGAAGGGGAGTGTGCATAGGAAACCTATTTGAAAAGAACAAGGAGTCAGTGTTTTTCTGGTTAGCATGGTGTAGTTAGCCAAAAAGCAACTTTATCCACTGAACACCATTCAGTGTTTGCAACTGCATGTTCTTGTGGCTCCACCAGCCAATCAGCATTGTCTTTATGTAATTTTTCTGAAGCTCTACAATAATTAGTTACATGGCATTTAAGGCTCAGGTAATTAACTATTAATTAAGTAGTGTGCCCAAAACTGAGCACAATAAGCAAACATGTACCAGGCGAACTATTGCCATTGTGATAAATGGAAATGCTGACCAATAACTCTCTTCAGAGAATTACAAAAAGCTGCTTTAAGAACACATTAACACTTCATTGCCATTGGAAAAATGGAGTCTGCCTTTAAAATAAACAGTTTAGAAAAATAATAAATATTTAGATTAGAGTCCTTCGAATATAGAGAAATAAATGACAAATTACACAGTCTAAATGCTAACATTTAGTGGTTTGCAACTTAATAGGTAAATCTGTATTTGTAATTGTTACATGGTCTGGAAATCATCAACCAAGTGCAAATGTGTGTAACAATTTTAAATAAAGGAATCACTTTAATTAACCGCTGCTCAAAGCAGCTGCTTAAAGATAAAACTAATTTCTTCAAAGACTGATGTGATAATTAGTGCATGGGCCCTCATACTATGAATGATGCATGCCTCACCTGTCCTGCAGCCTTTCGATGGTTTCTTTGAGCCGTGCTCTGAGGTGTCTGATACACACCTCTTTCTGTTGCAGTGGGGTAAGGTATTGCTCAGGTGGAGGGGGCCGGATACCATGGTTATCATTGCAGGAGGTGTATTTTATGTGATGCCTGATATGGATGAGAAAAGTGGTATATAGAACAAACAATACCATATATAAACAAACGAGAAAGAAGAGAAAGGAGCAATGCATCATTGGTCTGTGGGTGAGTCGTGTCTCACCTATGGGTCGGGCTTCCATCGCTGCCCTTGCATGACCCTGAATTGCTACTGCTGCTGAGAGAAGCATTTCCATAGGGATCACGGTTACTGACAGGTGCTGGACTCCGCCTGTATCATAACAGAATCACAATTTCAGTGTCACCTTCAAGGCCACTTAAGAGGACACAGGACGAGGTATAAACAGAATGCACAAACACACACTTACATGAACAAACAAAAAGCACAATTCCATGAAACACAAAACCAAAAATGACTAACATGCCTCTATACATACAGTCAACTAGTCATCCAGGGAGAGAGAACACCTTCTATGGATGTAAAGAATAAAAAGACACCCAGCTCACATAAAACTGCAAGCACAAATACAAACAGTTGTATTATGTGCTGAGAATGACAAATCATGATAAATATCCATCATGAATCAATAATGAGAAACAAACTGGCAGCTGAACAAGCAGAAATTGACAGCAGTGCCGTCTAATGAGGGCTCACTTTGCACACCACAGACATGAAATCATCTTCAAATGTGACACATATGCAATTCGAGCTTTAAACCCCCAGTAAATTTAAAAGGTTGGATTTTATAGGGACATCGTGCTTTGGTTGAAGAGTTTGAATCCATGCTGACACAATGCCACACGGAGAACAAAGAAAAGTAAAGAAAAGAAGAGAAAAAAGAAGAACAAGACAGAAGGGATGATGGAGCGCTGACCGACAGTGGTGTTCCGGGGACTTTGGTGTCAGAAATCCTCTGCTCTGTCTCATAGAGACCATAATGCCTGACTCCATGGGTGTGTAGTCTAGCTCTATAAACCTGCAATAGTCAAAACTGACCCACAAACAAAAAGGAATCATTATACAGGATAGCACACACCTCAAGTTCACCTTAACCTGTATTGTATAGAAACTCAAATGAATGTTTCTGTGGACATTTTCTTGTAAACTGTGATAATAAATATGAGATGAATTCAGGTAGAAGCTGAAAAAGAAATCATCTGCCACTTTTACCGACTGTGTTGTAAGCTTTCCATTATTCTCTATTTTTATCCATATTTTTTTTTCCCAATTTCCGAAAAATTATGTATACATCTCTCCTTGAAATTCCAGGTGCTGATTTGGTCTTTTTGATACATCTGTTTTTAACATTTGAAATTATTCAAATCATTCTAAAGTCCATTTAAAACATCCAATTGAAATTAACATAAGAAGCTTGTTTATTACAACCATTAAACTCTGTACACAAGGTTGCAGATCTGACAGATTATTTGACAGATTGTCTGACTAATTAATTAAGTCAGCAGTCAGGGGAGGATAGAGAGAAAGATAAATAGTAGCTTCTTATTAATTCTGGTTGTCAGAAACATTAGCAGAGGGCTGGGTAGGATCAAAGCCAATTTGCCACACTTAAAAGAATAAAAGACATGCTGGACATATTGTACAAATGCATACTAGATTACTTTTGACAGTTTCCTTCATCCTTATCGGCATTACATGTCTACTTTATATAAACGAAAAATATTCTTACTAACTGTTTTCAAGACCTTCTAAACATGCAGTTTCATTCGGTATGCTGACCTCACATAGCATACCATATTCATAAAACTGAGGCAAAATAGGAGCAATGGATCATGGGGTAGCTTAGAGCATAATGACTCTTAATCTCCTTCCAATTCTCTTTTGGAAAAATGTAAAATTAAACCCAGGGTTAGCTGCGGTGAATGAAAGCACTTCTTTTAGGTGGTGCAGAATGCAGTTTTTTTCAATTTCAATTTTGTGAGTGAGTTTTGAGTAATTATCAGTATCAGCATTAACCACTGAAAGCCTCATATTGGTCAACCACCGAAGTTGAAGTATTAAAATTACT